AAAAAAAAAAAAAAGAATTTCATGTTCTAGGAAGCTTGAGAAATAAGGTAAGTAAACTTTTTTTTTTTAAGCTGCAGGAATTCTCAGAAACTTTGAGGCCAGTATACTGTGTATCCCTATTGGTGCAGTGGGAGATGGAGTAGGTAGGATACAGGCTTGCCAATTTCTGAATCAGTCTCCTTTCTCCAGGTTCAGTACTACTTTAGGCAGGAAAATAGATACGAGTGGGGTGGAAAGAGAATAAGGTCAGTAAAATCCCCTAAAAAGGACTCAGTTAACCAGTTAAAACTCGAAAGCCAGAAAAGACTCAGAGTTAACAAGTTAATCAGTTAAAACTCAAAAGGTCAGGAGCAACTTGGCCTTCAATGTTTGAATATTCCCCAGAAAGTTAAAGTATCAGAGCACAGCCCATATCTTCATTGTGTCAGTTAGATCATGTCATTGTAAGATTTACTCTAGCCTGCTAAAAGGCCCACCTATAAACAGAATAAAGACAGGAAGATTCCATCTTAAAGCTAAAACTGCATTTTAAAAAATCCAAGAGGTTAAGAATTAAGATTCTTAACATACTCTTTAGCAAACAGACAATAACTCAACCCACCTTGGAGGAAGGACATATCTTAATTGATATGCTCCCAAACCAGGAAGCTGCTATCCTGGGAGGGAATCAGAGCAGTAAATTTCTTGTGTTAAGTTAATTTTACATACTCAAAGACCACTTAACAAGTCTGCACCCCAGCCCTTTGTCATTCCTGAAAAATCCTTAAAAGGGAGAACCCCAACCTTTCAGTGTGCTCCTTTCACTGAGGGCGCCCGTACTTTCTGAGTGCGTAACTTTAACCTTTCCCAACCTTTCAGGGCGCTCCTCTCTCTCTGAGGTTGCCTGCACATTTTCTCTAAGTAACTTTAAATAAAACTTTTACTCTGCTTCACTACTGTGTCTCTGCCCTTCAATTCTTTGTTGTGGCAGCGGGGACAATAACTGAGTAAAATACACAACGCTCCCCCCCAACAATACCAACCACCAAGACCAAGTGCCATGATTGCTCAACCAGACTATTGCAATAGAACTCCCACTTGTCTCCCTTTTCCCCACTTTTCTCCTCTGTAATCTATTCTGCATATATTTAAAAAAATTATCCTGTCACACCTGTGCTTCAAATCCTTCAGTGATGTCTCCTTGTACTCAAAAGAAAATCTAACTTCTCTTCCCAGGCCTATAAGGCCCTGTGGACATGTCTCCTGCTCACTCCTGCAAGCTCCTCTCCATTGGGAAGCTCGAGCCACACTGGTCTTCCTCCAGTTCCTCAAGCACACCAAGCCTGCCTGTACTTTAACCCTTAATGCCACATGTCCTTCTGCCTGGGCTGCTCTCCCTCCATCACTGCTAGCTGGCTCCTTCTTGTTATTCAGGTCCAAACTTGATACCTGATAATTTATTTTTAATTTTCTTTATTCCCACACTAGAATGTATGCTCCATGAAAGCAAGGGCTCTGCCACTCTTGCTTCTATTCCTCCAGTGCCTAAAATAGTATCTGGCACAGAGTAATAATTAAATATATATATGCTGAATCAATGAAAAAATAATCTAAATAACTGGAGACATAAATAATCCAAATGGAAGTCGGCTTCTAGGATATGGCACTCCGACTTTCCTCCTACCTCAGTGGCCCCTCCTTCCCAGTCTTCTTTGCTGATTCCTCCTGGTTTCTTGATCCCTATATGGTGCACTACTTTAGGGAACTGAAATCCAAAGGAGTAAATAAATGCCTTTGGGGGATGGGAAAGTCAAATCAGTTTTAGACTCTTTTCATTAAGAGCAAAGCTGATTTATCAGCTACTGGTCAAATTACCTTATGATACTAGATCAAGTTATCAAGCTGTCCTTCCTCTGTGCCACAGGGCTGATACCACACTTGCAAGTTAACAGTGTTATATCAAACCACCTCTGGATGTGGGTCTATTTCAGGATAAAAAATGGGCCTGAAATATAGCCTTACTTGTTATACTGTAGTCAACTCCAGAGTAAATTAGCTCAGGGAAGTAGAAAGAAACAAAGATTAAGAACAAGAGAAGTTTCCATTTTGTACTTTAAAATGTATTATGGACTATGATTTAAAAACTTGTATTTCAAATAACTGTTAACATCACAGCAAAAAATGTATTTTCTTACCTTCTGCATAGACTTCATCATGGTCCTCTATTTGCTCAGCAGTTTCCAAATCTATTCTTTGGTCCCAAAGCCTTCTGGATAAATCTGAATTTCCAGTAGAAAATGCTTTAGAAACTGCAAATTCCGAGGCTTTCTCCACTCTCTTCAATGTAACAGAAACAAACAAAAATTCATTAGAATAACAATATCAGTGTTAAAGAATGTCTCTCTTATTCAAGAATCTGATTTTCTACCAACTACTAAGATACTTTCATTTTTTCCACTTTGAAAAAAATTTGAGGTTTAAATATCCACCCCAAATAATTTCATTGGTTAAACATGCTACTAATTGCAGTATTTTACCAAGCTTTAATTCATATTTGAACAAAAGGCATTTAAGCTTCAGACAACTTTTGTTTAGAACATTAATAATGGGATCCTGACATCTGGATTATTTTATTTCAAATAAAAAATACAGTATCTTTTTCAGTCTGTACACCACTAGGACTTGCATATCAACATGAACCAGAGGCAGAGTAGCTACACTTCCTTAAATTACTACTTCTGAAAGGAACCTCCCATCAATTATTAGGCAAACTATAGTTTCAATAAAATTTGGATTAAACAGAACCATTGAACTGTAGTTATCCAGAATATTTAATTCAACAGTAAAAACAAAGCCAAATTAAGGCACCTGGGAAATTAGTGGAGGTGGGCAAACTGTCTTGGCCTTCTGGTTTATCTGCACAAAATAAAAGAACTTAGTTCACAACTAAACCCCTGACTTTTCCCCTCCCCACAACCTGCTTTCCTCCATGCCTGCTGTGCTCCCAGTGCTTCAGGTCAGGCAGTGACAATTCCATTCTTTCTATTCTCAGAATACAAACCTTCAGAGTCCTTCTGGAATCTGCTCTTTCTCACCCCACAATCTTTAAGGAAATGTGTTGATTCTGTTTTCAGAATATATCCAGGACCTGTCTCCTTGTCACCTCTATTCTAATCACCCAGTCCAAGGCACCACTATTTCCAGACAGTTTTTCTGTAACAGCCTCCCACCACCGCAGCCAGAGACCCCTTTAAAATGAAAGCCATGTTATAACTCCACTTAAAACGCTTAAATGGTCCCTATTCTATGCAGAATAAAAGTCAAAGTCCTTACAACGTATTTTAACATCCTGTACCATCAGACCCTTTGTAACCCTTCCAACCTCCTCATCTGTGACTCCACCATTGCTTACTCTTCTTCAGCCACACTGACCATCTTGTTCATTCCTCCTCAAATACGCCAAACATGTTTCCACCTCAGGACCTCTGTACTCCTTCCTCTGCAGGACTGCTCTCCCCAAGAAAACCATGTGAGCTCCCTTACCTCTTTGTCTCTCCCCAAATGTCTCCTTTGAAGTAAGGCCTTTCCTACTACCCTACAAGTGATTGTAACCATTCTCCTGGTTCTCCCCATTTTCCCTTCTCTGTTGTGACTTCCTCTATAGCCTTAAGACCTTGTAACATTTTATCATGTATTATCTCCCCCAAGTAGAACATAAGCAGGAATTTTTGTCTTCTTCATGCATGAACTCCCATCACCTAAAACAGCGTTTAGCACATAGCAGGTACCCCATGTTCCTTAAAGAAACAAGAACATAGAAGTTATACCCTTCTATACCTTGTACTTGCCTAACCTACTTTGAAAATGATTTTTCCTCTTAGTCTTTGTGGAAAAACGGATCCTACCTCTGCCAATACTTGCCATGGGCTTTACCTTTTAAGTTCTCAAGGGTTTCATACATTAAGTTTGAATTATAGAGGAGAGGGATAAAGTTGAAAAGGCAAGGGCAGTTTGAAAAAGATGTAGAATATACAACATAAAGGAAAAGATTAATTAGAAGAAACATGATCTAATCGTGGTAAGAGGTAAGAGAATATCATTCACTCTTTTTGAGGTCACTGGAGAGATCTGCTTTCTCACATTATTTCTCAGCCTCCGATGTGCCCAAATTTATGGTGGTAGTTCATGTCACTTATTGTATCGTCACAATATGCTTGGGACATAGTCCTTTAAGATTCTTAAATTCTAAGATGGCAGGATGAATTTCACATATATTGTACATGTTTGTATGTACACATATATGTGAATAATGTACAAATGGGTCAACTTTAATTTTTTTAAACTAACACCTACAAACAAAAAATTTTTTAAAGATGGTAGGCTTAGTTTCTCAAACTGAGTGGAAGAAGTAACTTTGTATATGTCATCTCACTTGAGTTGGATTTGTGTAGATTCTTATCAGAGGAGGTAGAGAGCTTGGTGATAGAAGACTGATGTTGGTATGAAAGTCGGACAGAGTCTGTAAGATCTTCCTATGTTGAAGATAGTAACTGCACTAGTTGGGGTGAGAATTCGATAATATGGGTACCTTTTGAAACCACTCTGTTGTATTGTTGAAACCAATATAAAATTGTGTATCAACTACAATAAAAAAAAAAGAAAGAAAGTATGACAGAGTCTGGTACTGACAAGAAAGGAAGTAAAGAGAAATGTTTACATGGCTCTAACAAAGCAAGTGTTTGGGATACCACATAAAATGGAGAAGGTACTTCATTTCATTCATGGGAAAAAACACTTTCTGATACTAAAGATTAGAAATAATCTCTGTATTTCCTTGTTTTAAAATATTACATCCTGACCATTATTTTCAAAATAAATATGTAAGACCAGAGAGGTCTATCTTAAACTACATTTCAGTGAAACAGTGTCAGTATAACAGTTCATTCTTTAAGTAATTTGATTGAAGGCTAGCTCTGTTCCCACCACTGTAGTGGACATTAAGGAGAACACAAAACTAAAAGCTTCTGTTCTCAAAGAGTTTTCTTTCACTCCCTCCCTTCTCTCTCTCTCTCTCTCTCTCTCTCTCTCTCCTTCCTTCCTTCCTTCCTTCCTTCTTTTAGTCTCATATGCCGTGTGTGTAATAAGCAACTCAAGAACAGCTCTAAATACAGGGTGATTTAAAAAAACTAAACACCTTCAAAAGTTTATTACTCAGAAATATGTTAAATTTAAATACGTCATTTGTCAAGGGGCTATCTCAGTTATTCCTATAAATGCTCGATATATGTGCTCCTCATGTCCCACGGCACACATCAATCTCCTCGTCCACTTGATGGCAGAAACTGCAGACACAATGCACTCCAACATTTCGTCAAGGCTGGGAGGTACATACACAAGTTTCTTACATATCTTCATGTGCAAACTGCATGTGTTTATATAATGGTTTGGGGAGTAATATGTGTTTGTAAGTTTGCAATTCTTTTTAATTACTTGGTATACAAGCCAATTTTTGATGCTCTGTCTATTGTGTATGAATGCCAAATAATTCCAAGAAAAAGGGTATTCAAAGATGGGATTAAGTGGCTGAGGTGAGTGAGGGGAATTGTTCATTGAGGAGGCATCTCAAGCTAAGCATTAAGAGAAGGATCTAGATTGGCTTCCCAGAGAGGAAGGTTATTCCCGGCTGGGGGATCAACATGAGTTAAAGCAAAGGGAAGACTTCTCTGATAGAGGGGAAGGAGATTGGCTTGTCAGGAGTTACAGAGAATATCAGTAAAGGGACTGTTAGAGGTAGACTGATGGAGGGCTTCAAATGCCCATCTGAGATTCAAGGTTTCATCTGATGGTATGCAAAATCACTAGAGGTTCAAGAATAGAGAACTGACAAGATGAAAATGTTTAGAAAGCCCAAAGTAGCAGAATGCACTGGAGTAAAAAGATAAGTCTATCAAATCAGGATAAAGATGAACTGTAAATCATGGTGGCCTGTTGGGTTTTAGGTGAACTGTCCCAGGACTCATAGTTCTACCCAAGCATCTGATTAGTTCTAAGTGACTTCAGCATCCCAGAGGATGACTCACCAACATGTCAGCCTCAAGGTTTGCTTGATCTCTTGTATTCCAACAGCCTTTCCCTCAATTGGACTTCAGCAACCCACTGACATGGTCATCCTGAACCATGTGGTACCAAATTTTCCATTGTTCAGATCAAATGCTGACAACACCTCTTCAACATCAGACTCCTATCCATCTCATCTTCTGCTTCCCTACTCCACCACAGTGATGTTGCACTAAACCAGATCCTTTTGTCAATATATGCCTCCTCCTCATAACCCCTGAGTCCTTTAAAGGGTCCCTTCCTTTCCTACTCTGCATGAATATTCAGGTACTATCTTACAAAAGCCTCAAAGCTCTCATTCTTTTGCCTCTTCAATGAAAACTTTCCAGGTGGGTCAATCTGATCTCCCAATTTTTGCTATTGCAAAAAAATATGGCTACTTGCTTCAAACAAGTCCCCAGTGCTGTTGGGTGAGCTTCCTTTTCTGTCCTGAAGAAAGCCCTTTTTCAGCCTTCCTTATGCTCCATATCTTTACCATATATCCCCCCCTCTCCCATGTAAAAAGGTCTATGCTGATTTTGAAAGGGTGGCCCATTCCAGTGGATTTGGTAGGCTCAGGTCCAGAGGGTGTAACTGCTTAGGATATACCCAAGGGTTCTATTAGGGAACAGAAAAGATGACAGAGTGAATACAGTAGTAGGAGAAGCAAGAGGAATGGTATTACAAAAAGATAATGGAGAAGAGAATTTCTAGAATAAATTAGTGATAACTATTATCAAATGAATCTTAGAAGACTGAGAAAGAAGAAGAGCGAGACAACTGGATTTGGTCAGGAAGTCATTTATGACAACAGCTTCTGTGGAGTGGCAAGAAGTAGGAATTGGACAAAAGTAACTGCGGACACAAGAGGAAGATAAAAATACAAGGCAAGGAGTCCAGGATATATATCCAAAGATGTTGGATAAGAAAAGAGATTTTAAGACAATGAAATGGACTGCAGGGTCAAACAAGGACTTACAGATATTTTCAAGACAGCAGATTTGAGGGCCTAATGAGAGAGAACAACTGCTTACATTTTAGAGGAATGAGAAAAGGAATGATAAAAATCTGAGTCAAGCTGGCTAACAACTGCATGAAAGAGAAAAATGGTTCAGACTAATCAGAGCAGAATTTTATCCTTCTCTTTTTCCTCTATCTTCCCTTCTGGAGGAGACGGTAACTAATGTGCAATTCAGCCCCGCACAGGCTTGGTACTGGGGCTCTCAACGCTGACATATAAGCTAGGCTTACCGTGAGGATGAGGAGTGGGCTTCCCAGAGGCTAGCCTCCTTGATGGAAGATCTGTTTTGTCTTCCTAGTCAAGCCTTCTGCAGGAGTCAGGAAGCCTTCCCCAGCTCCACCTATATTAGCATCCTCCACCCTCACCGACCCACCCACATGCTTCCATTACATCCTCAATTCTCCCAACAGTTCTAAGTAAATTGTCTATCCTCCACTGGACTATGAACTCTGGGAAGGTAGGGACTGTATGCATTTTATGCACTGCTTCATCTCCAGGGCCCAACATAGTAGCTACTACTTAGTAGGCACTTCCTAACTACTGGCTACATGAAAAAAATGGTTAACAATGATTACATCTGGCCTGATGCTCACATGCCTGTCAATTTAGATGAATAGCTCTTCAAAAACTACCAGGCAGAAGGATATTTTTCTAGGAAAATGCTGCACAATTTTGAAACATGTGGTGCACAAACGAATTAAATATATTAAGTTGCCAAGATGACCCTAAGAAGCAAGTACCTGAAGTGGTTTGACCGTACTTTCAACTTCAGTGGTATTTGGATTAAAAATATAGATCTCAGGCCTGGAAGATTACCTAACCCAATCCTCTCCCCTCACTGCCCCAAATGCTCAAATATACTCTTAATTAGTCTGCTAACATTTATAACATTTAGTGACCATGTGGAATCTACTTGCTATCTCCAGTGATAGGAAACACATCTTTTTATAAGACTGCCCACTCCATTTCTGGATTGCTCTAGTCATCAGAAAATTCTTGTAATGCATGCACAACCTCTACATATCATATTGGCCCCACCGGTCAATGTAACTACAGTGCAGTCTCGCCAATATCTGAGGAAAGCCACCACATCCTCTTTGAAGGTTTCTCTTCCCTTGCTCCTTTCATCATCTTCATGTGACCCTCATGGCATGAAAGGGGATGTCTTCATCTATTTTCTTGTCATTCCTACTTTCATGAGAAGCAACAGAATACTAGAGTATGAAACTAAAGCAACATATATAGTCATATGGGAATAAAAATAGAAAAATATTTGCAAAATGGAGATCAATTAGTATGCCTTTTCCATCTGACTATGTCTGACTCTCAATGCTCTATTTTAATTGCACAATATTCTTACCTTAATACAGTGTTCCACATTGTCAGGATCAAAAGCAGGCTATAGATGCTACATAAAGAACATTAATACACAATTAACTTTATCAATTTTGTCATCTTTATCTTTCTGACTAAAGCACATGGAAAAGTGTCTGTCCCCCAAGCATTTCATTAGAAAGCTCAGCAAAAAAAGAACACAGAAGGATAGTAGGAAGAAGAAACATGAATCTTTCTCTAGGACAAATTCTGTTTTTTATCTCCTGCCTAGGCCCACCTGGAGATTCTGATTTAATCGGTCTGGAGCAGGGCCCAGGCATCAGTATTTTTTTTTAAGGTGCCCAAGATTAAGAGTCAAGAAAGAGGAATGCGTGATATAATATTCCTTTTAAAAATCCAAGCGAACACTAATTAGCCAGATTATTCAAGTGCCATGGAAACAAAGCTGCTTGGAGAAGGGCGTGCCCCTCTCTTCAGGACCCTCTTCAGGAGTAACCTATAGCAAGAGGCCTTCCTATCTTACCTAGAGCAAGGATTATTGTTTGGCCCAAGAAGATCTGGGGGGTGGGGTTAAGGTTAATCAATCTACTGTTTTATAAAGCAGAAAATGAAGTAGAAATCACATATATTTCAACCCTGGTCAGATATTAATCTGAAATTAGAAATCAAATCAATAGGACATCTTTTTCTCATTCTCTTTAAGTCTCAGAAGCTTGCAGAATTCCCTGTAATAGTCATTTAACAAACAGAGGTATCTTCTTTGCTAATAATTCGCATGGGTTTGATGCTGGGGTTCTTGTTCACAGTTGAAAAATGAACTTCATAAACACTCACAGTAGGAGAGTAAGTGAGAGGCTTTTATTTAGAGATAAAGTAATAGGGAAGGGCTTCTGGTTCACACCAGGGGGAAACATGAGAGCCCCAGGTGGTGAGTTGTCTAGGGGATTTATAGGCTGTTAAGAGACAAAGGGCTAGGGATGCAGACCTGCCAAATGGTTTTAAAATGTTTATTTTTGAAGAGAGACTAAGTTTCTTATCAGTCTTCCCGGTTATTCTGCAGAGTTAGCTAATACAAGAAATGTACTGCTCTGATTCCTTTCCAGGATAGCAGTTTTTAAATCTGGGAGCATATCAATTAAGACTTGACTGTTTTGCTCCCAAGGTGGGCTGAGTTATTGTCTGTTTGTTAACAGAGTAGGTTAGGAAACTTACTTTTTAACTAATTGAGTTTTAAAATGCAAGCTTATTTTTAAGATGGAATCCTTTTTGTTTTTACTGCGTTGTTTTTGACTGGGCTTGCTTGCTAAATCAGTTGCCCAGGTTGCAAATCACTTGATTAGGAAAAGCAGCATCTGGGTCAAGTCAAAGAAATAAACTGGGCCTTTTAGCATGCTTAAGTAAATCTTACAATAGCATGATTTAATTCACACAATGAAGGCCTGGGCTATGCTGAGGTATTTTCTTATCTGGGGGATATTCAAAACATTCCAGGCCAAGTTACTCCTGGCTTTTAGTTTTCACTAATTTCACTGAAGAATGCCTATATTCCTAGTTAGATATTTTTACTTCAGAGAATTAATGTGACTGACTTTGCTTCATTATTTAACAGAGAGTTTTGGTAGGGGTTTCTTTGCACATTGTTACATTGTTCTGACTGTAATTAACCAGCTTTGTTTTTTTTTCTGGAGGCCCTCCCCCTACTCTGTTTAAACTCCTGGTCCCCATCTCAGGTTTATAAATAAGAGATTATCTAAACTAGCATAGTGACACGTGGAGGAGGGAAAGATACAATACTCTCACTTATATAATACTTCACCTTCAAAGCCCCTTACAGATAACTAATTGATGCAGCTGTACTCCTGAATAATTTTGTCACTGCAGCAAAGAAAGAGCTGATCCTAATAAAACACAGCTGAACTTCAAGAAACTCTTTGTCCTTTTACCTTTTTAACTTCTAGGCAGTAACAATGAGCACTGGAAGCAGAAACCTTCCCTTGTGGAGTCTGAAGAAATTGTCCCAAGCTTTTACCTTTCATCATCAAGTCTATACCCATAACTTGTTTTGGATCCAATCTATTATGGAACTGGCACATCACAAATAGGAGCAGAGTCTGCTTCCATGTCTCTCTCTAATGTTCCAATCTGCACCCTCCAGTATCTAGGGGCAAAATATTTATCAAATGGAATATATCCAGTACATTATTTACCTGGTATATTTAGGTTACCTAGGGTCCTCAGTTACCTAGGAACATAATTACATAGGGTCCTCAGAAAAGCCACATGTCTATAGAATATATTTTAAGAAAGTGTAATGTAAGGGTGAGACTGCTCTGGAGCTGAATGCTGAGAAGCCCCTCGATTTTGGTACTCTCATGTTTATAGCATTTATTCTTGTGACTGTTAAAAAAGGTAGTCTGTGGAAAGGACAAACGTCCTGTGATTGTGATTTTACATATGCCCTTTACGTTTCAAGTTTAAAATAGGGTTATCAGTTTTCCATGTCTTTGCAAGCTAATGCGCCAAAGGAGGTAACAAATATAAAGATCTACTTTTTGAATGTTGGTTTAATGTAGAAATTTTAATGTGAATCAAGCAAATATGATAAATTCAGTATTCACTTGCATTCCTGAATTTTAGATCCTTTATGAAAAACTAGAAAGGAATATGAGGCAGAGGACTTATGTGAGGATCTTCCCTTTTCAATAAAGACCAGTTCCCTATGATTTGCAAAACATTAAAAAAAGAGAGAAAAAGAAAGGAGGGAAAGGTGCAGAGAACTTCCATAAAATGTGGGGGGTGCGAGTGTAAAGCGAGGAAGTTCGCGAATCCTCTCCACTGGGATGGGCACTACCAGATCTCTCTGACTTGAGAGAAGCTTTTGATGGAAGACCTCCAGGATGCTGCGCACCAAAGCCTTCTAGTACCCAGAAGCCACAGTTCCTAGGACCTCTTCACCACGTGGGCTGCGGAGGCGGTCAAGGCAGGACGGGCCAGGTAAGGATGCCCCTGGGGGAAGAGGGAGGAAGCGCAGCCGGGCCGCGGCTGGCCTCGGGCCTGGTCCCCGCCCCCCACAGCTCCCAAATAGGATGAATCACCTTGGGACTTGGCTTCCTTGTAAACTGTTTCCAACGACTCAGCCCGGGCCTCTTCTTTGAGGGGGACTTTCCCTGGGGAGCCAGCAGCATTTTTTAGAGTCAGTGGCGGACCTCGAACAAAGCTGGAACAGCCGCTTCTTTGCCCAGGCTGATGCCGGGTCTCCCTGGGAGTCGTAGTTCCTCCGCCTCCAAGGAGGGCAGCTGTGGGGCGCCACCGAACCACTACTCCCATCAGGCGTTGCGCAAACGGAACGAGTTAACTCCGTAACCCTTGGCAACGGCAGCGGTCCCTCCGCCTCTCGGTCATCTAAGCGCGCTCTGACATTACCTTTGCGTCTTATGGCACCCGGTGATGATGCAACGCGCCCTGATTGGCTCTGCGTCGGAGGCGGTGGTTTAGGGGGCCGAGAATTCTGCCAGCCATACACGTGGTACCGAATAGCGAGGCGGGCTCAAGGCCAAAAAACTTGGGAGGTTTGCAGGTAAGTACCCCCTTTCCCTGTTGGCGGGGCGGCTGCTAGGGCGCTTAAGTCGAACCGTGCCAAGGCGCTTCCTGATTGTGTTGCAGTAACTGTAATTGTACTCCCGCCATGTCTCTCCTTCCGTTTTCTGAGTCTCCTGGTGGATTTCGACTAGATCGTGTGGGCTTCTCCCATCTTTTAGAGAAAAGGCCCTCCTTTGACAGACCTCTGCTCAAGAGTCAAGTTTTCAGCCAGGTTTTTCTGGGCTGCCCAGGGTACTTGGGAAGGCTGCGACGGATCTTGAATCCTTGAGCTAGCGCTTTGCGAGGTCTGGGGTCCCTGAAGGTGGCCCACGGAGTGAAGATAAGTCCATCCTTACCTACTGAACCTAGAAGTTCCCTAGAAGTCAGTTCTGGGGTACATGGATTCATAAGAAAGGGTAGAGATTTTAACCCAGGGAGCATTGAATTACTTTGTGGCTGTATTACCTTAAACAAGTTGTTAAATACCTCGGACCCTCGACAAAATGGGGCGATTGTACCTAAATCATCGGGAGTGTTGTAACAATTAAAAATCAATGTAAGTGTAGTGCTGCGCCAGGAAACGTAAACTAAAGTAGACTTGAGATCGGTGAAAATAAGATCAGGCAAGTAGTGCGCCCATTCTAGTTCAGATACAGACTCTGCTCTGTAGCTTTAGTGTCTGTCAGGAGGGTGATAGGTGAATCAGCTGTATTACCTGAATAATGCAATATCATAAAGTAGTTACTTTAAAAGAGTAAGTTAGCTTTATGTCTCTAAGAAATATCCATTGTGTATTCCTGATTGAAAAGCAAATTGTGGAGAAGTGCATAAGTTTAAGTGCTTTTTGAGTATGGAGAAAGGTTGTAGAAGCTAGGAAGATGGTTAGAGGCAGAGAAGAGAGATAAGGGAAAACAGCAATAGTAAAAACACTATAGTAAAATGTAAAATATAACAAATTGTATTTTAACATTATAGTGAATATATAAACATTATATATACTTATGGACAAGATGGATCTTCTAATAGGCTACCAGTCTATTATAGTCTCTAAAACAGACTTCTATGATTAAGTCCCAGTTCGGCCACTCCCAAAGGATGACTTTATTAGTTTCAGTTTTCTCATCTGTAAAATGCACATAATAGCATCTGTTTTATAAGTTTGATATGGTGATACATACTTGTGGTGTTAATATTGCAAAGAACAGTACATGATTCATAGTAAATGCCCATAAATGTTAGTTCTGTTGTGTTATGTCTTTAAAGAGATGAAATTAATTTGTGAATTTGTTAACTTACATTGTGATAACTGACATAGTTGGATTTACTTTGTATTTTCTATTTCTGATGTGCTTTTTCGTCTCTTCCTGGGTCTTGCTTTCAATTGTATTAAATGATTTTTCTTTGTCCTCCCCACACAGCCCCACCATGTTTGAAATTACACATTCTGTCATTAATCTTTTAATGGTTACTTAAAATTTTTAACACACACATTTAACAAGTTGAACATTATCATCTTTCTCCTCCAAAATAGTGCAAAGATTTTAGAATACTTGACCTCCAAGTAGTATCTGCCTCATCTTTTGTTATTGTTTTCTAAAGTTTTAGTGTGGGGGATGAAAATGTTAATGATGGAGCTGTGCACAGTGCTTGGATTGCTAAGATATAAAGAGAAACTTCAGAGGGCATCATGGGACTACAGGATGTCTGTAGATCCTTGGAATGCAGGGGTTTGCATAAAGACTTTACTGTTGGAAAGCCATGAGAGTTCCTTTTGTTTCCATGAGCCTGAAGGTGTTTTTCACAAGTGCTGTTTTTGCATAGTATAGTTCTAGTTTAACCAAGCACATAGCAGAGCTTTGTGTCTCTGATAATAATCAACATATGAAAACTATGAAAAGTTTAAGATTAATCACATCATGTAACTTTCTGCACTCTTGTGATCTGCACCTGTGGTATTTTTAATCATGATGCAAAAATTTGGAAGCGCACAGTAAGTACAAGAGCAAACAGAGGAAAGTGGTCTTTGCCTCTGAGCACTGACCCACCCCCCCCCTTGCCTTCTCCTCTCTTGCTGTAAAGTAAGGTGTGGAGTAATCCTTCATCCATCCTCTCAGGGATTGCTGGCCATTTCCAGCATTTTAGAGTCTGTCATTTCTGTGCATCTGAGTCATCCAAGTGCACCATATTGTTTAGAAGTTCTTCAGATTTTTTGACATGCATATACAAACACTGTAGAGTGTGTATGTGTGATTGCATATTTATAAATATATATGTACAGCTTTCACAAAAAAATGTGCTCACCTAAGCTTGTTCTTTTCCCTTAGAATGTTGCAGTCATCTTTCCATGACAGTTTGTAGAGAATCCATCTAAGAAACATTTAAAAATTCCTCCTCTTCTGAGGGAATCCTAGGGGTGGGAGGCCAGGGGGCATGTGTGACTGCAGAGGGAATGTGTGACTCTGGAGATGTTAGGATGGGTCCAATGCTGCCAGAGGGGCAGAGAATCTTTGTTAGCCTTTTAAGAGCACAGCCTTTACTAGGCCTGACACCTACAGGTCATCACTTTTCCTTAAAGTAATAAAGATTTTATCATTAACCATTTCCAAATGGCTTTGCTAAATGGTTTTGCCTGAAGAATTTACCAGGAACTCCATCTGTAAAAGTGAAGTGTGAATGTTTATATATTTAGAAAAACACAATACCCAAAATCTTAGAGGAGACCCATGTGAGTGGAAGGGAGAGTGATGACAAGGCAAATAAACACCAGTGGGTATTTTGGAGACTTTTGGCTTGTTTGGTGAGAACTTTGCTTGGATTAGTAGATTGTATCATTTCCAAAGCATGTTTTAAAAAATATGTACATGACTATGTGTATGTATGTGTATTATTTTTACATTACTCCCTAATAAAAATTTTATATTTGAGCCCCTACTAAAAAAGTGCAGTTATGAAAACATATAACCCAAAGAGAACAGCAAATGTGGAAAGGAAAGCTTGGTTCTTTTTAGCTCTGGGTAAAGTCGCATGGTATTTTTTTAAATGTTGATTTCCAGCTGAAGTTCATTCTCTAATGCTTTCCTCAGATTTCTTAATATTTGTGTTCATCCTCACAATACAGAGAATCATCGATAAGAGCAATTTACCTTTACAATACTTTTTTTAAACACAGCTGTCTACTTTCCCTTGCTTACTTTTCCTTTGATGACATGCTGATTTAGTGTATTTAGGGTGAGACTCTTGAGCCCCAAACAGCAGAGTGTGAGTACATAGCATCAGAGCCCTGTACTGCGAAGACAGCCAAGTGGGTATCTCTCTCTAGCTGACCCAGTGATTCAGTTTACTGAGTTGAGAGTTTTGATTTTGATCTTTAAAGATAGGGGCATTCAACTTTTGTGCATTGTCATCTTAGGACATGGTGGCCAGTGTCCTCTAGAGCTACCAAGGACAGAATGACAGACCTTGTGTTAAGAATGAAGAAAGCTATTTCTTCAATTTGCAGAAAGAATGGGAAGGGGAGATAGGAAAAAATACTTTCAGGATTCAGTGGATGGTTAATCATATGGAGGCTCTTCTGTTAAGAGATGGGGACTCCTAGGATATGTTTGTTCTTTCCTTCCACAAGAATGGGACTGGCAGGCCCCTGAGAGAGAGATGAGTCTTAGAAAGCAAGAGCCTGAGCTTCCACATCTGGCTGCCTCCCACCTCTACGAGAGTCCCTGTGTCTTCCCTTGGAATCTGGATGTGGTTCTATTAGAGAACAGTGGGTTTCCTTTGAGTTGCCTTTACATATGTAATCATTATTTTTCCTATTCTAGATTCTCTGCTCATGTGACATATTCCCATATGTCATCCTGCAGGGCATGAATGCACTAACTGGTCCTCTTTCCTTCTTGGTTCTCATAGTAACTAAAGTGCATTCTGGTTTTGTTATTCAGTCTCTGAGGTTGATTTGTTTGACCTGATCCTGAGGGTGCATCTGTGCTGGGTATGTAGACGAGATCAGTCTTAAGGACCTGTGACCAGTCCCCAATATCCCCAACAAAAAATAATGCTAAATTGCTTATGAATTGCATGTATGATCTACATGGTTTCTCACCTCTATTTAGACACATAAGAACACATTGGAAAGTAATCCCACCTCTCAGAGATAATCTCTGTATGTCTTTTGACATATATTCTTCCACATAGTTTAATACACACCAGATGCTGTTTGAAACTGTTTTCTTCATTTAACAACAGTAGGAAAAACTGCTATGTTGCCTAATATCCTCTCAAATTAGAGAAAGAAAAAAATCAGTAATCAGTATGACCTAAGCAATGTGACCTTCCTCTACATACATTTTAAGGCTGAGAGTGAGCCTTGATGAAAAAACAACACTCTTTCCATGATTAGTCGTTACTTCCATCCTACATTTGGTTGGTTTTCATCAGCTCAGAGAAAAATTCCATGACTGGATTTAAATGTGGTTGATGTCATCTCATTGCTCTAGGACTTTTGGTACGTTATCTTACTCTCTGTCTTTTCCCATTTCCCTATTCCTTATACCTAAAAAAATCATAGACTGGAAGTAGTAATAAACAAGCTGTCAGTCCTCTTTTGTAGGTTACCTTCTTTGTTAAGTGCTTAGCCTTTAGATGTCATGTAACTCCTTCTGAGTTTAATGGTTTTTTTCTTATCAGAACCTAGAGGAATCCCTTAGGATGAAGCTGAGTCTTACCAAAGTAGTTAATGGCTGCCGCCTAGGAACAATAAAAAACCTGGGCAAAACAAAGGACCGCACCGTGGACATTCCAGGCTGCCTGCTATACACCAAGACTGGCTCTGCCCCACACCTGACCCATCACACACTGCATAAGGTGCATGGGGTTCCTGCTGTGGTGCAGCTTACACTGTCATCGCTGTAAGTATCAGACCTTCAGGCATCACCTCTGGGAGCAGCTTAGTTACCTTAAAGTGCAGGAAAGAGAAAGATTTTTTTGTTTCTATATAAAATTGTAGACTTTTAGAATGCAAACAGAAGAGAGATATCAAATATTACACATCATCTGGCCCTAATCTGGAAACCATAGGCCAGACCCACATGTTAGAGCTGCTTCACTTTTCCTCCAAACCAGCTGGTCCTTCCTGCCCTTATTGTCATCACTCTCAGGGGTGAAAGGGGCAGGGGGCATGCTGTTTGAGAACTAAACTTGGAGTCTAGGGGCTGTCTTCATGCACCAGCCTTGAGGTTTTCTCTGCTCTGCACATGTACTTGCTAGTCCTACTTAATGAAAACAAAATTAATAGAGTTGTATATAATGGGTAGATATGCTAACTTTACCCCTCAATTGAAGATCCTGCCTATGTGATCAAATAACTGCAGAATTGTGTTAATAACAGTGATTTTAAAGGAATGAAGGGAAGAAGAAAATCCAGATATTCTGAAGCAGTTGATCTTTGCCACTCTCTGTTCTCTCAGAACCACTTGCAAATTGAAACCTTTCCTCTGGCTAATGAACCCAGCCTGATGTGCTGGGCCTCTTGAATAGTGGTGTACTGTATTGTTCAAGACTACATTTACTGTCACATAGCTTGTTTGGGTGAGGAGAAGTAAGCTTCAGTTATTGTGTAGAGTATGTCGAATGATTCATTATTACATATTTTTCTGTTTTTGCTTATAGGGCAGAACATCATGAAGTCTTGGAAGAATATAAGGAAGGAATTGGAAAATTTATAGGTAAAAATCTGTATGTGCTTTGTAATGTATTATCTTGGAGTTTGGAGGTGTTCTTGACTCTTTGATCTTTCATTAATACATTTATTTATTCAGTAATTTAGTAAGCATTTATTGAGCATCTGAGAGCCAGGCATTGGGATTCAGAGGTGACTGAGACACATGCTACCCTCATGGAACTCAGAGCTTAGCTGGGATCAAGATAAAGAGGTAATTCTAATAGAGTGTGGTGATGATATTTCAGGATTAGGGATATATACGTGGATCATGAGAGCCCAGAGGGAGGAGCACATAACCTGCTGCAGGAGACACATGGAGGGTGGTCAGAATAAAGAAAGGATTCTTGAGAGAGACCATGAGGGGGCGCCTTATGGGGGTCATGGAAAAGTAGGGGTTAGATAGGTCAGAAAGTGGGTGCAGTAGACAGGCGTGGGCAGACACTCCAGGCACAAAGACCCAGAGGTTACAAACTGCATGGGACATACCTAAGATCCAGAACAGTCTTGGATTTTGGCGTAAAGCATAAGGCAGAGGATGAAGAGTTTATATATAGCTATATTCTGATAGGTTGATATTATTTTCCGTTCTAGAAATGGGATTTTATATACAGAGGTATGTGTCCATTTATTTATAGGAAAACTTAGCACCAACAGCTAGAGAACCAATTCTTCTGTAGACCACTTCCTCCTGAAGTTTTTTCCCAATGTCTAAGACTCACTTGAGTGAATGAAAATCCTGTTTGCATTGATTATTCAGTCCCCTGCTTCCTAGGGAAACAGCACAATGACTTCTTGGTTGTTTTTGTGTTTCAGTAGAAGAATTTATATAATACCATTTTCCTTGGTCTGAGACCAATTTTAATAACCAGCTTTAAAGTATACAAGCATATAATTAAGTGAAAATAGCTAATATAAGCTTTCTAGAGATAATTGTAATAATTGAAGTTGTAGAAAATAAGGTGGAGAACAGTAGAGGGTTTTTTTTTAACTTATTTTATTCGGGGAATCTTTTTCAGTGAAATCTTATTTTTTCTCTCATGAAAATGCAGGGTAGCATATGAAATTTTAAACACATATGGTTTACTAAACATTTTTTGGGTTTTTTTTTTTTTAAGTTCTGTCTTTTTGGCTAGAGAGTCTAAGAAACTATCATCTTAAGTCAATGAAATGTACTGAAAATGAGTTCGTTTGCAATTACAGCTTCTCTATAGTTCTGCCCCATGATGTGGGATGGCTTTATTATTAGGATTAGCTTTTAGCCATATCATTTTATCTTTCCATTAGCTAGTTCCCTTTGGATGGTACCAAGAATGGACATACTTGTTACTAAATTCTTCTTTAAAGCAAATTGAGTAGGATCAACATGTCATTAAACACCTTCAGTATATCTTCAAGATATGCCTTTCCTTTGTAATGACTAGACATGAACCTTTACCTTTAATTCTTTCAGATTAGTAGGTTTCAAAGGTGATCTTCATTCATGTTGACAGGCTTCCTATAATTCTAAGATCAGGTATGAGCAATTTCCTGTGTGCAGAGTTGCTTTATCCAGCAGTACCCATGCAAAGCTGCTCTGTTGCAGTGTCATTGACGACAGAAGTGGTTTCAAGGGTTCTTTTTTGTGTTTACACAGGCATGCCAGAATCGCTCCTGTATTGCTCCCTGCATGACCCAGTCAGCCCTTGCCCAGCTGGGTATGTAACAAACAAGGTGTGTTCTCAGAAGGACCTCCAAGGCTGCACCTTTGTCCCAGGAAGTTAGACTATTATATCCCTCAGATGCGAGGATCCAGTGCCTGGGATGCCGGCCCATTCCTGACCCCTTTTTGCCTTCTTATTTCTATGTATATAGTGGGATAAGGTGGCTTATAGGAGTTCAAGTCAGGCTGCCTGAGGATGGGGTAAGGACTATATCCTCAGCTTTTTCGTTGTTGCAAAAAATGTTGGGGTGGAGAAAGGTCAAGTACATGGCAAAAAAAGAAGTTGCTATGATGGTAGAAAATGATAGTCTTGATGCCATGCTTTATTTGCAGTTTTAATGTCAGGAAGAGTGGGGAAAGTTGCTGATGATTATCACATGCGTAACTATATATAGTAGAACCTCAGTATCACACTGCTTGCTTTCAGAACAGAATTTGAAATGCTGGGCCCAAGCCAAAGATTTTAGCTGGTGAAGAAAACTATCAAAAGGACTTCATTAAAAGTCTTCACCTGAGATGTGGTGCATTGGTGTTGTCCCTGAGGGGAGCATTCTGGCGAGGCATCTCTATATACTGCAACTTCACAAATTAATTTTTCTTGCACTCACTTTATTTTAACAATATCTATTAATCTTACCTAAAATAAATATTTTAAGTTATTCTTCTGCATGAACATTTTATTTTGCAATTTGAATTCAAAAGAAAATACTGACCTCAGTTATCTACCCCATTTATAAGGGAGAGAGGATTCATTTAAACAGTGTTCTTGTGCCTTAGGACAGAATAAGACTGTGTAAGCCTTCCCCATCTATGTCCTTGCCAATATTTTCTAAGAAGAAGGATGCTGTAGGGGAGAATAACCAATGAAGTCACATTATATAGAGATTTTCATGTACTATGGTCTTCTTTGTATCTGTATCTAACTGAATCTAGTAAATATTTGCTAAACTATAATAATGTGTGAGGCTCTAGACTGCTTTTGGGGCATAAACATGAATTGGCACACTCTAGTCAGACAACTACACAATGGTATGATGAGTGCTCTCCCTTCTATAAAAGAAGTAAGTGCAAATTGCTGTAAGAGCTAAGAAGAGTGAGTGATTATACCCAGGAAGGTTTGGGCAACACATTAGAATAGATTATATTGAACTCTGTGTCTAAAAGGATGCATACCGGGCAAAGAAGTAGGGAAGGACAGTTCAATCGAAAGGAACTGTGTGATCAAAGAGAAGAATTAGAGTCTGTGATACAGGAACAACGTGGGTGTGATGGGGCAGGGGGAATGTGGGAATGGGCTCGAAAAATATAATAACAGATTCTTGGAGGGCTAGCTTGGAGGTTGGCTCATGCGGCAATTGAAGGATTCTCTATGAGCTTTAAGGTCCCTAGAGAGTTTGGAATATAGTACAGGAAACCTCTTTTACCCATCATGTCTGAGATACTGAATTGCCCCCACCTCTCCAGTTATAAGAAAGAAGTAAATTTAGTATTGCTTTATCATTTTATTATTTTCTTTTTATTTGCATTTTACTCTTGCTGATTCCTCATGGTCCTGTTTCACGGCAGTCTGTGTCCGTGTGGGGTGTTGGAGGAAGAGTGGAGATGACTGTTTCCAAGTTCATGGCAATTCAGCAGGCCCTTCAGCCAGACTGGTTCCAGTGCCTCTCAGATGGAGAGACGTCTTCCGTGGAAGCAAATTCCATAAAACGAGCCAGAAAATCTGTTGACCGATCACTTCTATTCCTGGATAACTGTCTGCGGTTACAGGGAGAGTCAGAGGTAAGACTGTGTTCACAGTCCTTCTTTCTGAAACTCCAGTCAATTTACATCCCATGATGCCCACTTTTGTGTTACCCCTCCTACTTCTCCTCTTCTCAATTCTTGTTCTCTTTCTCTGCCCTTTTTTCCCCCTGAACTGTGCTTTTGCTCTATAGGATTCTGTCTTTGGCTCTCTTTTCATCCCATCTAATATGTTGTTCCTGGCCAGCCTCCCCTTAGTCTTAATTGCTGAATAATTCTAAAATCTTATGCATATTCAAGATTACTCCACTTAGCTTCTGAATGACATAAAATGGGCTTTAGCTTGGTTCTGTCACTAGATGATCCCTCACATGCACCTCAGGCTGAGAGGTAGCCAGACTCCGTGTCTTATCTCGTCAAGCCTGGTCTTCCTTTGCTCTCCCTCAATATNATGTGATCAAATAACTGCAGAATTGTGTTAATAACAGTGATTTTAAAGGAATGAAGGGAAGAAGAAAATCCAGATATTCTGAAGCAGTTGATCTTTGCCACTCTCTGTTCTCTCAGAACCACTTGCAAATTGAAACCTTTCCTCTGGCTAATGAACCCAGCCTCATGTGCTGGGCCTCTTGAATAGTGGTGTACTGTATTGTTCAAGACTACATTTACTGTCACATAGCTTGTTTGGGTGAGGAGAAGTAAGCTTCAGTTATTGTGTAGAGTATGTCGAATGATTCATTATTACATATTTTTCTGTTTTTGCTTATAGGGCAGAACATCATGAAGTCTTGGAAGAATATAAGGAAGGAATTGGAAAATTTATAGGTAAAAATCTGTATGTGCTTTGTAATGTATTATCTTGGAGTTTGGAGGTGTTCTTGACTCTTTGATCTTTCATTAATACATTTATTTATTCAGTAATTTAGTAAGCATTTATTGAGCATCTGAGAGCCAGGCATTGGGATTCAGAGGTGACTGAGACACATGCTACCCTCATGGAACTCAGAGCTTAGCTGGGATCAAGATAAAGAGGTAATTCTAATAGAGTGTGGTGATGATATTTCAGGATTAGGGATATATACGTGGATCATGAGAGCCCAGAGGGAGGAGCACATAACCTGCTGCAGGAGACACATGGAGGGTGGTCAGAATAAAGAAAGGATTCTTGAGAGAGACCATGAGGGGGCGCCTTATGGGGGTCATGGAAAAGTAGGGGTTAGATAGGTCAGAAAGTGGGTGCAGTAGACAGGCGTGGGCAGACACTCCAGGCACAAAGACCCAGAGGTTACAAACTGCATGGGACATACCTAAGATCCAGAACAGTCTTGGATTTTGGCGTAAAGCATAAGGCAGAGGATGAAGAGTTTATATATAGCTATATTCTGATAGGTTGATATTATTTTCCGTTCTAGAAATGGGATTTTATATACAGAGGTATGTGTCCATTTATTTATAGGAAAACTTAGCACCAACAGCTAGAGAACCAATTCTTCTGTAGACCACTTCCTCCTGAAGTTTTTTCCCAATGTCTAAGACTCACTTGAGTGAATGAAAATCCTGTTTGCATTGATTATTCAGTCCCCTGCTTCCTAGGGAAACAGCACAATGACTTCTTGGTTGTTTTTGTGTTTCAGTAGAAGAATTTATATAATACCATTTTCCTTGGTCTGAGACCAATTTTAATAACCAGCTTTAAAGTATACAAGCATATAATTAAGTGAAAATAGCTAATATAAGCTTTCTAGAGATAATTGTAATAATTGAAGTTGTAGAAAATAAGGTGGAGAACAGTAGAGGGTTTTTTTTTAACTTATTTTATTCGGGGAATCTTTTTCAGTGAAATCTTATTTTTTCTCTCATGAAAATGCAGGGTAGCATATGAAATTTTAAACACATATGGTTTACTAAACATTTTTTGGGTTTTTTTTTTTTTAAGTTCTGTCTTTTTGGCTAGAGAGTCTAAGAAACTATCATCTTAAGTCAATGAAATGTACTGAAAATGAGTTCGTTTGCAATTACAGCTTCTCTATAGTTCTGCCCCATGATGTGGGATGGCTTTATTATTAGGATTAGCTTTTAGCCATATCATTTTATCTTTCCATTAGCTAGTTCCCTTTGGATGGTACCAAGAATGGACATACTTGTTACTAAATTCTTCTTTAAAGCAAATTGAGTAGGATCAACATGTCATTAAACACCTTCAGTATATCTTCAAGATATGCCTTTCCTTTGTAATGACTAGACATGAACCTTTACCTTTAATTCTTTCAGATTAGTAGGTTTCAAAGGTGATCTTCATTCATGTTGACAGGCTTCCTATAATTCTAAGATCAGGTATGAGCAATTTCCTGTGTGCAGAGTTGCTTTATCCAGCAGTACCCATGCAAAGCTGCTCTGTTGCAGTGTCATTGACGACAGAAGTGGTTTCAAGGGTTCTTTTTTGTGTTTACACAGGCATGCCAGAATCGCTCCTGTATTGCTCCCTGCATGACCCAGTCAGCCCTTGCCCAGCTGGGTATGTAACAAACAAGGTGTGTTCTCAGAAGGACCTCCAAGGCTGCACCTTTGTCCCAGGAAGTTAGACTATTATATCCCTCAGATGCGAGGATCCAGTGCCTGGGATGCCGGCCCATTCCTGACCCCTTTTTGCCTTCTTATTTCTATGTATATAGTGGGATAAGGTGGCTTATAGGAGTTCAAGTCAGGCTGCCTGAGGATGGGGTAAGGACTATATCCTCAGCTTTTTCGTTGTTGCAAAAAATGTTGGGGTGGAGAAAGGTCAAGTACATGGCAAAAAAAGAAGTTGCTATGATGGTAGAAAATGATAGTCTTGATGCCATGCTTTATTTGCAGTTTTAATGTCAGGAAGAGTGGGGAAAGTTGCTGATGATTATCACATGCGTAACTATATATAGTAGAACCTCAGTATCACACTGCTTGCTTTCAGAACAGAATTTGAAATGCTGGGCCCAAGCCAAAGATTTTAGCTGGTGAAGAAAACTATCAAAAGGACTTCATTAAAAGTCTTCACCTGAGATGTGGTGCATTGGTGTTGTCCCTGAGGGGAGCATTCTGGCGAGGCATCTCTATATACTGCAACTTCACAAATTAATTTTTCTTGCACTCACTTTATTTTAACAATATCTATTAATCTTACCTAAAATAAATATTTTAAGTTATTCTTCTGCATGAACATTTTATTTTGCAATTTGAATTCAAAAGAAAATACTGACCTCAGTTATCTACCCCATTTATAAGGGAGAGAGGATTCATTTAAACAGTGTTCTTGTGCCTTAGGACAGAATAAGACTGTGTAAGCCTTCCCCATCTATGTCCTTGCCAATATTTTCTAAGAAGAAGGATGCTGTAGGGGAGAATAACCAATGAAGTCACATTATATAGAGATTTTCATGTACTATGGTCTTCTTTGTATCTGTATCTAACTGAATCTAGTAAATATTTGCTAAACTATAATAATGTGTGAGGCTCTAGACTGCTTTTGGGGCATAAACATGAATTGGCACACTCTAGTCAGACAACTACACAATGGTATGATGAGTGCTCTCCCTTCTATAAAAGAAGTAAGTGCAAATTGCTGTAAGAGCTAAGAAGAGTGAGTGATTATACCCAGGAAGGTTTGGGCAACACATTAGAATAGATTATATTGAACTCTGTGTCTAAAAGGATGCATACCGGGCAAAGAAGTAGGGAAGGACAGTTCAATCGAAAGGAACTGTGTGATCAAAGAGAAGAATTAGAGTCTGTGATACAGGAACAACGTGGGTGTGATGGGGCAGGGGGAATGTGGGAATGGGCTCGAAAAATATAATAACAGATTCTTGGAGGGCTAGCTTGGAGGTTGGCTCATGCGGCAATTGAAGGATTCTCTATGAGCTTTAAGGTCCCTAGAGAGTTTGGAATATAGTACAGGAAACCTCTTTTACCCATCATGTCTGAGATACTGAATTGCCCCCACCTCTCCAGTTATAAGAAAGAAGTAAATTTAGTATTGCTTTATCATTTTATTATTTTCTTTTTATTTGCATTTTACTCTTGCTGATTCCTCATGGTCCTGTTTCACGGCAGTCTGTGTCCGTGTGGGGTGTTGGAGGAAGAGTGGAGATGACTGTTTCCAAGTTCATGGCAATTCAGCAGGCCCTTCAGCCAGACTGGTTCCAGTGCCTCTCAGATGGAGAGACGTCTTCCGTGGAAGCAAATTCCATAAAACGAGCCAGAAAATCTGTTGACCGATCACTTCTATTCCTGGATAACTGTCTGCGGTTACAGGGAGAGTCAGAGGTAAGACTGTGTTCACAGTCCTTCTTTCTGAAACTCCAGTCAATTTACATCCCATGATGCCCACTTTTGTGTTACCCCTCCTACTTCTCCTCTTCTCAATTCTTGTTCTCTTTCTCTGCCCTTTTTTCCCCCTGAACTGTGCTTTTGCTCTATAGGATTCTGTCTTTGGCTCTCTTTTCATCCCATCTAATATGTTGTTCCTGGCCAGCCTCCCCTTAGTCTTAATTGCTGAATAATTCTAAAATCTTATGCATATTCAAGATTACTCCACTTAGCTTCTGAATGACATAAAATGGGCTTTAGCTTGGTTCTGTCACTAGATGATCCCTCACATGCACCTCAGGCTGAGAGGTAGCCAGACTCCGTGTCTTATCTCGTCAAGCCTGGTCTTCCTTTGCTCTCCCTCAATATGCTTCTCAGTTCATGGCAGCCACCAGGTTCCTCAGCTTAGAAATTTGAATTTTTAAAGACACCTTTTATTATCCACTTGTCCGCCTCTTCCCGATTCCATCTCCCTAAGTATATCTAGCATCTGCTCCTCCTCTCCACCCTTCTTATCACACCTTAAGGCATAATAACCTCATCATCTCATGTGGACAATTATCTTTTAATTGTTCTGTCTTCCACTCTTCTCATTTCTATCCAGTCCATCCTCAGCCCTGCTATCTGAGAGATCTCTATTACACAAATAGGAGCCCATATCCACTATCCTAAAAGAATCTAAAGACTCTCCACTTCAA